CTGAGTTTTCTTGTGTCTCATTCAGTTTCCTTAGAATTATCACTCGAAATTTCTTGTCAGTTATTTCAAGGGCTTCTTGTTTATAGGATCTAGAGCTTGAGATTTATTATCTTTTGGTCGTGTACTTTCTTGATTTCTTGTATTTCTGGTATCTTTTCTTTGATGTTTATTCATTGTGGCAGGGGGGTTCACAGTCCGCAGATCAGATGAAATGAGCAGAGTATCTTCTGTTCCACTGGGCAGTCTGTTGAACACAGCAGACAGACTCAGAGGAGAATCGGGGGCAGTGCGCGGAGTCCCCGGTCCCAGTGCAGCCGCTGCCCGTTGGCTCCAGCTTGGCTTGATATGTTGGGGCACCTGGTTCTGGAGGGCCCTGATGTTTGGGTGAGGAGGGGCCGTGCTGCCGCCGCCGGGTGAGGAGGCGGTACCGCTACTGCTGCTGTTGCCACCGCCGCTGCCGCCGCTCCGGTGCCGGGTCGGTTCCTGCTGCAGCCGCTGAGCCTTTCACGGCAGTATCCTCGTGGGCCAGTGGAAGGGGGTCTTTGTCCCCCTCCTCAGGGGAAGTGGCGCCCTTTTTGGGAGCGGGGCTCAGGTGATGCCAGTGGATTTTCTTCACTCAAGGAGCAGAGCCGCGGGTCTCGTCAGTTACATAGGGAGTCGCCATCTGTCAGCAGCCAGTTTCTGAGGATGGGAAGTCCAAAGTCCATCTGGTGGTGGTGACAGTGACCCAGTGGTCTCACATTGCAAGATGGTGGAAGCAGAGAGAGCAGAGAGCTGATTCGCAGTCCATCTCAGAAGTTCCTAAGTTTCAGAGGCTGTGTATGGTTATAAACTATCTCTAGTNGTGGTGACAGTGACCCAGTGGTCTCACATTGCAAGATGGTGGAAGCAGAGAGAGCAGAGAGCTGATTCGCAGTCCATCTCAGAAGTTCCTAAGTTTCAGAGGCTGTGTATGGTTATAAACTATCTCTAGTTTATAACTAGGGTGACTGGGAGACAAGCATGGGAGAGAGACTTTATTGTGTAGTCTTGTACCTGGTGTGAGTATTATCTGATTCCACTATGCAGCCAATGGTTAAAAACTAGGGCTCTAGCGTGACTCTGGGTATCCTGGCTTCAGTGTTTGTCACAGATGTTGCTTTTGCCAGCTCCTGCTCTGTGTGCTCAGCAGCTCCAGCCTGGATGCAGCCAGGATTCCAAACGGTCAGGGTGGTTTTTTCTTTCATTGTGGCTTCTCCTGCCTTCATACACTTCGTAGGTCTCTCCTCCTCTTCCCCTGAGCTCTACTGGCTCCTGCTTGGCTGTCATTGGTTTTTTATAGTTGGAAATTGGTTGATCTGTGGAAGAAAGTGATGCTGGTGGCTGTCTCTTCCACCATCTTGACTGAAGTCCCTCCTCTGTGGTTTTTGATGAAAATGAGTTCACAGGTTACGTTTTAAGGGGAAGGGGAAGAGTTCAAATTTATACCGAGCGCCTCGTTCATTCATTCATTTTTCAAGAG